ACTCCGAGCCATTGCACGAGCTGCTGCCGTGGCAGCTGGACGTGTGCTCGTGCAGGGGCAGGCGTCCCCCCTCTGCTTCCTTCACCTGCACGTGCTCAGCTGGACCTGAGCACGTGCAGGGACTGAGGCAGGAGGAATGGGGTGGGTGAATTGGGTGCGGTGGTCGGAGGAAGGGGGAGTGCGTAGCGCACGCTTGAATGCATGCAGCAAGAGAAGAGGATACAACCGCTAGCAAAAGTGCAAGCTAATCCATAATAAAGTAACAAACTAATGGTAAGATGTCGGTTTGATTGTGATGATACCCTCAACAATATAAGAAAACCATTTACTACACTCAAGCCATTGCACAAGCTGCGTGGCAGCTGGGCGTGGGGTCGTGCCAGAGCTGGGCCGGCTAGAGGAGATAGGAATATCTAACCTTTCGTCCTGCTTCCCAGCTTCCCCGTGCTCTGCCGGAACTGAGAACATGCAGGTGAGGGAGACCGGGGGAAGAGGGTCGGGTGAAGGGGGTACGTGGTGGGGGGTGCGTAGCGCACGCTTGAGTAGGAGCACGCAGCAAGCTGCTCGCTTGACAGCTGGACGTGAGCTCGTGCGTGGGATGCTCCATCTATTACGATTCGATCAAAACAGTGCAGTATGAGCAGCTAAGTGAGTGAGCAAATTCCGTTTCCATCATGAAGTGCGCCTGGCGAAGCCAAGCCAGCTAAAGAGAAGGAGAGCTCGGCGTTAGCCGGGCGATCCGGCTGGTATACAAATAATAAAATAAATAATATAGAAGTAATACTAAAAACATTTCTTCGTGCATTTTTTGGAAGCAGGAGAGGCAGTATTGGTTTTTACAAGAGGAACAAATCGTGTTTACTTTTGTTTACTCAACTTCAAAAAGGGCAGGATACCTGGTTCTACATGGACATGTACATGGTTCTTCCACCAGAAATGAGATAAACCTTGCAGAGGGGGAAAAGTGTAAAAAGAATGGACAAAAAACGAATCACGTGGTTTTTGGCGAAGTTGTATTCGTTGCGAGCGCGCTTAACCATAAACGGGACGATTGCCTGAGTGTCGCCCCCCGCCGCGAACGCGCCGCTCGACAAACGGAAGTTTTCCGGCGAAACGGCACCGCTGCGAACATGTAAATCAACACCAAAAGAAGTTACCCTCAGATCCTGTACTCCATGAGTTTGGCGTGCAAACACACTAATATAGGGTTGGCCTATAAGTAATGGCGTTTTTTGTCACACAATTTTTATATGGAAAATGACAATTGTTCCGAATGTCTACACTGTTTGATAGATAATTTTCCGCACTATAAGATAGTATAATTGCCTTCTTACTATTTCTCGACTTGTGTCGATTTTTATTTCATTGAAAGGGAAATTCGGGTCGACCCAAAAAAAAGTTTTCGACAACTACTTTTCGAATTTCATCTTTTTTTGAATCTTGGCTCTCATTCAGAAGGCCCTCAAACTTTGTTATCTATATGACTAAAGAAAGACGTCTTAAGAAGCTTGAATGGTACAAGCCAATAAATAGGTGGGAACCCGGTCCCTGTGAAGGAGCATCGCGTGGGGGGGACCCTTTTGGGGAGGGACTGCCTGCAGAAACTAGCCACTTGTTTTTGGACGTCTAACGTTAACTGATTGTGGTGGTTGATAATGATAAATCAAAACCGGTTGCCGGTTGCCATTCTCTTTGAAAAGCGAGTTCCAAGAGGACATCTACAGTGGATAAGGTATGTCACAACGACAATGGTAGTGCGAAATGATTTGGAATCTGACGAGGATGTGTATAACAGAAGTTGCTGAGCTTGTTCAAGAACGAGCCAAATGCGTTCACCAACGGGAGTTTCAGTGGAGTTCATCGCTTCGGGGGACATCAAGGCTCTGCGCTCTCTCCAGTCCTTTTGACTCGTGGATGCCATCTTGCGAGTTCCCGGAAAGAAGTTCCTTGGACACTTTTTTACGCTGATGGTTCGATGCTTGCCTGTGAAGATAAGAGTATACAAGGGAGGGGATGGGGGCAAAAAAAAGACATTTCGACCGAGTCACATATCAGCAAAGTTTTCGCAGCCCAGACAGAGGACGTGGATACGAGTACCAGGGCGGAAGATACCCAAGATGTTCCTCTATAAGCAGGAGCTGGCTCTCGCCCATCACCTTCATGTACACCAAAATATGAAGTCATCTCCAGTCGCACCTGACTGGAGAAGACCTTTGGAATTCATGTCACCTCCAAACAGCTGCGAAACTTCTAGTATGGAGTCACCCATGGATAGCTACCTGGAGAGCAGTACTCTCGATCTGGAAGACCTCCATCATCGAGCAGCTCCGTCAACGTCGCTACGGTCTAGGACATCATCTTCACCCAGTTGATGGTGGGGACCGGACGTACCTGGAATGGAGAGACCGATATTTTCTTCGTGGGCCCCGGACTAAAGGTGAGCGCTGGCGGTTACATCGAGCAACTCGAGAAGAATATCCTCCCCACATGTCGTCGCCCGTACCTTCTTGGAAACTTTGTACTGCTACAGGATTGGGTGACACCACATGGAATCAAAGGGCGTTGGGAAAACTCTTGCCTACTTGGAATGGAAGGGCGTTGAGTACCTGAAGAAGGTGGAATATCTAAGCAGGTAACCTGACCTAAACCCCCTCAATTACCTGGTTCGGGCGGAGTTCAATAGGGTGGTCTACAGTGGCGGAGAAATCAACGATCTCGCTGAACTCACGCACCCACTGACGGTCGCGTGGCAGAATCTCTCGATGGCGCTCCTCCAGAAGGCTGTGGCGGAGTATCATGATAGTATTTAATATGCTCTTTAATATGGTGGTAGAAATGTCCGATAAGAATTTAATAAAGTGTAACTTATAGCGCCTCGAAAGTCGAGGAAGAAAAAAGTCTTTTTTTTGCCCCCCCCCCCTTTACTGCAAGAGAATGTGCGAACTTGGCTCGATTGCCTGGCAAGAGTGTTCTCAAATTGAACGTTAGAGGAACCGAGTACCTGGCAACTGATATAAATGAGCACGGCTCCATTGAGATCAGGGGCACGGTGCTTTTGAATGCCTCGGATAAGCAAGTTGCGTAGCAGTATGGTGGTCTGAGCAGTGATCTAGCAAGTTCTAGCCTTGGAAACTGCCGCTATGCATGCAATACGAGACAGGAAAGTGGCAAACCAGTGAGTGATTTGCGTGGTAGAGATTTCTTGTGTTGACTTGGACTTTTTATGTGCAACGCTTACAATCTAGTGACGGCAACACGTCCAGTTGACAAATGGGTACAGCACATAGATCTTCCTTGATGCTAACCCTATTTGACAGGAGTGTGGTTGTCACCGCATTGATGGCAGCGGCAACAGCCCTTCATGGATATACCACCCGAACAGTTACTTGACAATCATTCACTTTCTGTATCTCTGCCTTCCGAATCAGGAACGTTGCTCGACTACTTCTGGATTTTCTCTTTCAAAATTCGATGAAAGTGTTGCCAACCTGTAAAACATCATCGAACCGCCCTCCGAGTTCTCCACGCCAGAAGGAAGTGAACCGTAAAAACACATAATTAGTAATGATGCGAGGGTCCGTTGATTGCAGCAGGCCAGTAATCCTTAATGTGGTTAATCACCACACACCTTCCACGAAATGGTTATAAAACTCAGTACCTTCTCATATAGTCAGTTTCTACGATCAGAATATTTGGATTGGTCGCAAAATATTTCCGCACAGAGTTCGGTGCGATGGTTTTGAAGTATCTGAACCAGTCAATCTGGAAACATCAATCACCGAAATACTGAAAGGGCGTCCTCAGAAGTAATCATCCTACAGAACTCTCACCCACCATGGGCGTTAGCTTCTTCATATCACTAAGTCGCCGAAGGTTGTACATTTTAGCACAGTCTCTTCGACTATCTTCGTCCTCCATGATTTTGGCAATCTTCGTTTCAAATTCAAGTATCTCATTCACATCGCTTTCGATTTTTGTAGAGTTAATCGTGAGATTAGCATATTCGTGAATTAATCTTACCTGAAGGGTGTGCTGCATTCTTTTTAGGATTTTCTGCCCAAAAAACCAAGAACTCAGAAAAGGTACGGTTTAGTGATTGCGCGAACCTCTCCTATGAGAAGACGTCTGTAGGCTTCTAGCTTTCTGCCGTACTTTGCTGAATCCATGTAGTATTCACGTGAGTTCTCACCCAGACCGAGATCCGCTTGATCGAACTGCAACCTTCTAGGATCAAAAGAGTTTTGATAGAATTATATGGCGAGATTATTCCTATTCGTCCGCAGAGATGAGTTGCATTTATTCGCCAGGTTATATCAAAAGTTATGCGCTCGTGACACTGGAGATTTGAGAGTGAAGTAGCCCCTCTGAAGAAGTGAGGGTGGAAAAGTTCGGCGGAAATGGAGTTCAGAAGGCTTTTGGAAAGATTGGTAGGGCAAGCACGGAGATGTGTGAAGTTACAAATAGTTGTTACGCTTTGGCTAGGCACTCATCTTTGTTTACTAGCTCCAGAGAACGATGCTCAGTGAGTTTTTGGGTAACCACAGGCAAAAGCAGAACCTAGAGACTCTTACGCTTCAAGGCTTATAACAGCTTATAACGGGAATTTATACAGTCACACAGTTCCTAGTATTCAGGACTTCCAAGGAATTTATTTATCGTAGCAGTTATGAAGCCGAAGGGAGCTTCCATTCCCCTGAGCAGTACTATTTAAAGTGAATGACTTTGGAGGAGCCATGCACTGCCCTCCGAGGAGGGTCTGTGCCAGGTGAATGGGACCGCTGCTGCAGAGTGTCTCTTCCTCCTCTCAAAAAAATGCACGGGGGGCTTAATGAGCAGCGCTTGTGTCGATACCAATATCCCACAGCAAAACACGCACCAGAAAGCGCATTGGGCCATGATCAGGCTTGTGGCTGTGGCGGCGTGCGCAGTATGAAGTCAGAGGTACCCGAGCGTCATTACCCTAGATCCTGTACACTTTTGAAGAAGATGGCTTGCTATTGCAACTGCTGTTCCGCTCACCTCACATGCACCAGTATCTATTAACGCGTATAATTTGCCTTCAGTTGATTGTTCAGAGGTGCATTCCACTAACACCTTGGTGGGACATCATCGTTGTATTGAAGATTGCTCTTAGCCGCGAATCCTGACCCAATTTTTAGACATAACGATGAACATCGGGGGCGCTTGGGCTTCAGGTTACCATTACGGCCTCACCAGCCAGTGAGTTCCGATGCTGGAACAATGTGCTTTTCGGATGTGTTGGTCTTACATATCTCGTTGTTTGTGCTTGGTATCTCGGTTCCCAGCGTTTCCTTTCCATGTGCATGTTGCACACGTTCACCAGAAAAATAGCTCGATCCCATGCATCTGTAATGGTTGTCTCTCTTTCTTAAGGTGACTAAGTATACGTCGATCAGTCTCTGAATTGTACCCTCCGGCCCTTTCCAGAGAAAATGTGTTTTCAATGATCTATGAGGTAGCAGGTGGCTTCTATCAATGCGTTTGTGCAACCGGATTTCGCTAAACTGACTGCCTAATGTAGGCACGTATTCGTGACGAGTGACTTCGCTGATCCCCGAAGGCATTCTTAATTTCGGTCAAAAGTGAACTGCGGGGACAGTGTTGTTATTCCCGCAGGGGACCACCCTTTATTCAGGGCTGGCCTTCTTACTGGATATCTAAACACCATCACTCCAGCTAAAACCTTCGTCCGCGAGCTGATCTCGTGACCCGGTAAGGTACGGCACTTGATCTTCCCATTGATTATATGGTGACTTAATGTTTTGAAGGACTTGCATGGTTGTATGACATAGATCGTGACGCGATTTTCATCTTTAAAGACAGCTCCCGCTCAAGTAGTACATGGCGCTCAAGTAGTACATGATCGTCCTTTCTTGAGCAAATAGTCCGGCCCTCAAACTATCCCACTCTCGCGACTCCACAGTGAGCGAGGAGCGAGCTACAGCCGCTGAAAGTTCTAGTTCTAACGCCCGCCCAGTTGGACCGCCCACTTGCTAGATGCCCTCTGACGGAGGGCCGCTCAGTTGTTCTTTGTTGGGGCGGCGGGCATTAATCGGAATTGCATGTCCTTTTTGCTGACCGCGCTCGTGCCCATGAATAATTCTGCTCTCCTTTATTACATTTTATTCATTAGGAGCACATACAGTCAACTGCAACCCATCTCGCAAGGTAAAACGCGTAAAAATCACGAGCGATGCAATTTTCGTGGTGCAAAAGCTCGACATGCACTAAAAGATGCACGCTACCGTAACCCCAAATTCGGACGCCGAGTTTCTGAAATTTTCTTTATTTTTTTAGTGTTCGTCTGTGTTCCTGTTGTTTTTCGTATTCTTTTTTTCGCAGTGGATGATATCCACTACTGGGAGATGTGATAAAGCGATTTGTGAGCCAGGGGTTGCACAGAGACCGCAGGGCGGTGTGACTGTCAGGGAGCGATTTTGTTTATGGTGTTCTTGAGGGCTCTTCTTGCTTTTTTTCTTTGGGAATTACTTATCAGCTACTGTTTCATAATTGAACATCAACTATCCATGACACTTTTATCGCAGGAGCTGTCTTTAAGGCTTCCAAGAAAGCACTTTGCACTAGACGTCGACTGGTCTACATGTCAACCTCGCGTCGGTTTAAGAAGGAATAGTATGCATGTGCTACACTGCTGAGGTATATCGAGCTGGATTTGGCAACATACAGATTATTCGTAATATTTTTCCTTGACGAATGATTTTTTTACGAATAGCCTCACCTTGACTAGTCTTCTTGAGACGTTTCTATTGTCAAGAGATACATAGTTGGTGACAAAAACGTTGAGTCCTCTCACTTTGCTGACGTGAATCATTAATGACGTTAAATCGAAATCTTCAACTCGCCATTTGTCGTCACCATCTACCATCGGCCACACACCATAACTCTGCAAAAAGGCTGAATTTCAAGTAACTCTCAATAAACGATCAGAAATGGTACATTGATAACTTGAAGCAGGCGCTGAGAACCAATCCTCTCCAATTCTTCTATATCCACGCATTTGCGGTACATAGACTTCAAGGCGTTCATAGATTTCGAAGAGAAAACCTCCGGCGACTCAAATGCTTCTGCAGTGAAACACTATATCAATCAGTGCAACGAAAACAACTGTGACAACTGATAAAGTGGGAACTTGCTGGCGTAAGATCCATTAATGAACGACGTCGACGAACAGCTATTTTAGGTGTCGCGCAACCCGGAATTGTTAGGTTGTACGGAAAAAATAACAATTTTCCTACCCCTTCTCCTGACTCTGCACTTGTTTTTGGGACAGCGTATAAATAATGTGCTTTCATACGCCTTTGGGAATGCACTCCGCCTGCTTTCTCCTATTATAGACTTATTGATTTATCCGTGAAGAGAAGTTTTTCATGATTAGGGTACAGAAACTCCCAGTAAAACAAAATAGAAAAACGATACGGGGGAGGGAGGGGGGGGGGAGAAGCGAGACAGCTATAACACAAAGTGTTGCGAGGCATTTCATGGTGATATTTCTTTTGGAGTCACTCGGTCTTCTCCATCGTCGTCGTTCCTTTCCACCTCTTTGATATGGTGACCGCTAAAGACAGCTCCAACGATAAAAGTGTCAAGGATAGTTGCTGTTCAAGTTATGAAACAGTAGCTGATAAGTAATTCCTCAAGAAGGAAAAAAGCAAGAAGAGCCCTCAAGAACACCATAAACAAAATCGCTCCCTGACAGTCACACTGCCCTACAGCCTCTGTGCAACCCCTGACTCAAATCGCTTCATCGCATATCCCAGTAGAGGATATCATCCAGATGCAAAAAAGAATACGAAAAACAACAAAAATACGAACGAAAAACACTTAAAAAATTCCAGAAAATTTGACGTCCAAATTTAGGGTTACGCGCAGTGTGCAGCTTTTAGTGCATGTCATACTTTTACCACAAAAATTGTATCACTCGTGATTTTTACGCGTTTTACCTTGCGAGATGGGTTGCAGTTGACTGTATGTGCTCCCAATGAATAAAATGTGATAAAGGAGAGCAGAATTATTTATGGGCACGAGCGCGGTCAGCAAAAAGTACATGCAATTCCGATTAATGCCCGCCGTCCCAATAAAGAACAATTTAGCGGCTCTTCGTCAGTGGGCCGCCCAACTGGGCGGGCATTAAAGCTAGAAATTTGAGCGGCTTTAGCTCGTTGCTCGCTTGCTGTGGACTGGGGAGAGTGACATAGTCCCTGCTTGGGGGCTGGACTACTTGTACAAGGAAGGACGACCATGCACTTCTTGAGCAGAAGACTGTGTTTTAAGTGGCTGAGGTTTTTTTCCTCCTTCCATGTGCTGGCTTCATGGAGATGGTGTCTGTAATCCTGCATCTGTGCTTCTTCGGCAACAACTTACCAACTGTGACGTGAAGTGAGCAGCAACTGTTCGGCAGTGTTTAGTAGTTAAGGTCTTCAAAGAGTACCACATCCCATAAGAGGTTGTTGCCTATCAGTATCTATCTATCTAAAAGGCTCACATGAGGATGTTGTGACATCAGCACTTCGCGGATCAGCAATTGTATGAGCATGTCTCAAACGGCCAGTCAGAGCGGGCAGTGATTTCACATGATTGTTTTTCTCCTTTCTCTGTGCTGATACCGATGCTGTGATTACGAGGTTTGAGATGCAGGGGAGTAGTCGCACCAAAAGTTCATACGGATATATTTTCTAATGATAGGTTCGGAAGACCAGGTCTCTTCACTACGTCGTCTGTGATGTACAATTGAATGGAACTTGAGCCATAAAATGCTGTTGCAATCGTAGCTCTCGAGCTAGTCGATGGGTTGAAAAGGTGCACCGAAGCTCACATCAGCGAGGCAATCTTTTGTTGTTGAAGAGGTGGGGCTGATGATTGCATTGTATCATTCTTCTTCGAATGATAGCCGAGGTCGGTCTCATTCGTCGATGTATTACGATCTGTTGGGGGCCCGGTATAGCCTGGCGAGGTAGAGTTCTTTTTTTGGACGTTCTCATTCGTAGCGTGGTTGTGCTGAGCATAAGGAAGAATGATAGCGCCTTGCGCGAAATTTGCAGGACTGTTTGGAATCACAGCCTTTCAGTGTAAGCTGAATCAAAAGAGGATGGTAGCAGAGGTGTAAGGCTGCGTTCATACCGTGCGACGTCGGCGTCAACGTCGACGTAACCGACGTTTTCGGCGACTAGTTCGCGAAGATTATATACGTATCGATCCGACGTAACGGATGAAACCTACGTGGCCGACAGCTGCGTAACCGCCGACTACTTCGCGAAGATTAGATATTTATCGATTCGGAGGAACCAACGAAACCGACGAAATTGGCGATTTTGGCGACTGGGCCAATCATAAGCATTTCGTGGACGCTTCTTCCCTCACAACTCTTTTCACATCACTTATTTATTTTCTTTTCTGTTTCTAAACAATTTCCCTGATTCCTTCAATCCTGTCAAGTAACCTTCCATACAACCTATCCACTAAGAATGCAAAGAATGTGCCTAATAATGATAGACCCTTTTTTGAACGGAGATGCGGGAACGAGGTTGCAAACAGCCTCACATCCCTCATCACATTGAATCCCTCTCGAGAATTTCTGCCTTTAGGCGCGATCTTCTCGAGAACATCTTTCCGTTTTGTTGTGACCGTCATAAGTGACCCTTCTACAGCCTCTTATCGGATCTTATCAAGTGTGATAACCTTTTGTCACCCATTGATAATGTTCCGTCCCACTGCCTACATGATCTGTTGGAAATGACTTCCTACTATTGGTAGGCCCGCGTTACGATTTTGCGGATGAACATATTAGGTTGGCGGGAAAGTTCTGTCACATTTTTTCAAACTAGGCTTTCTTTTTATAGAGGAGTGTAAGATCAAAATTGTACAGCAATGTAACTGCGGGGTCCTTGCCACTGAGCACCTCATGGATGCCATCGCTTCACTATGCAGGGAGACACGACGCAAAGTTGGACACCATCTCAACTTCGACTTGAACTTGGGTTATGGAGGTTTTCTCGTCCGCATAACGATCGATTACGGAAGGCAACTTGCTATTAGAAGGGGCGATGTCTGTGCTACACAAGTGCAAGGGAGAGAGATCAAGCTCCATTGCATGAGGTACGGCTCGAACTTTTTTGGACCAAGTGCGTTGCACTATCTTGGTGAGGGCCGGCTGTGCGGACAAATTTTTCCCTCTGATCCACGATACGCCTTAGATCTCGTAGCTGCTTTGCGTACGCCTTGACCAAGGAAGCAGCTTCTTCATCCAGCAGTTTCCCGACCCATAGCTCCCTCAAGCTGAGTTTGCAGGTAACCCAAACCTCACTTCGTCATCAAAACTGTAGGCTCCCTCCCGCCTTGAAGAGTCACTGTCGTGGTAAGGTTGCTCGATGATTGGGGGCATCGTGCTTATTCAGCTCCATCAATTTGGCATCTGCAGCTAACACGCGTCAGGGTGGTAGGTGAAATAGTTTGTGGAAGTTGTTGGATGGGTCGGGGCTGATGGTAGCGGATAAAATCCTTGTGCATATTGCAGAAGAAGGAGCAAGAGGCAAGCGAGTGGTACTAACAGAGAGACCACTCCTTGTTGTACAAGAGCTTACATTACCGGTTACCCCTCTTGCTAATGAGCAAGTAATTTGAGTTCGAAAATAAGTGACAAAACTTTCCCGCCAACCTAATACATACATACATGCATACATGCAACAAGTATACAAATAGACACACAATAGATTAGAAGGGTTTTGGTAGCTGACTGAATCACTTGCTACCGCTGTGAATGAATTTTGCACACGAAGGCGCATTTGAGTCTACCGTATCGCGAAATATACGTGAATGTCACAGCAGATTGAATTGATTGAAGGAAGTTCATCGATTTTGAGAAAGAAAGAAAGAATAAAACCAAGAGTAATGGAAACATCTCTGCTGTGGTTATACACCACATGGAGTTCTTATCAAGGCACATGTGGTGCCAGTTGAGCACTGCCATATCACTCGATCCGTATCTAATCTTTACGAAGTAGTCGTCGGTTACGCAGCGTTCGTCAGTTACGCGGCAGCTTTCGTCGGTTCGGTCAAAAACGTCGGTTTCGTCGGTTTCGTCGTCGGATCGATACGTATCTAGTCTTTGCGAAAAATTCGTCGGTTACATCGGATCAATACATATTTCGCCTTCGTGAAGTAGTCGCAGAAAACGTCGGTTACGTCGACGACGACGTCGCACGGTATGAACACAGCCTAAGTGTTGCAGTTCATTTGGTAAGAGACTATGAATGTTAGTCGCCTTGTTATAGATTCGGCTACTCAGTCTGGTAGATAACGTTGAGGAGAATTTCTCCTAAGCCTGTCTCTGAGGGATCTTCCTGTTCACTGGTGAATTGTCGAACCACTGCAAACACTGGATTGTATAGAGTCTGTAGTGCGTTCTCCCGGTAGCAACTAGGTAGGTGGGACAACTTTATGTAGCGAATGTGACTCTAAGCAACCTTGTCATCGCAATGAGTTGCTAGTACATATATTTGAGGCGACCTTGTAGTTCAACGATGTCATCGATAGGCTTCGAATATATTGCAGAACGCGACTGCGAGACAAGATTTGAGCAGAGAAAGCGCTGTGTCGTCGTGGTTTTTGCTTTCTACAAACGCAGAAAACCTCGCGGAGAACTCTGGACAGGTGAGAATATTGCTTTCAGAGGTTGGGAATTCCAGCCTACTGAGGATTGAAGCTCCACAAGTTTAACAATGCTGAGTTGTCCGTCGGAGTGCACATTCTGTTCTTTGTCAGTAGCTAGAGTGCCACGCAGGGCACAGCATTGGTTGGGGATTCCCTATGGGGGGGGTCGTATTTGGCCGTCAAAAGGGGGTCGTATTTGGACTGGGAAAAATTTATTTTTCTAGTTGATTTTTCTCTCCTTGCGGACGTTTCGGAGGGGGGGGTCGTAATTTGGTCCTTGTGGGGAGGGGGGTCGTATTTCTGGCTAGGAAATATATGTGGTTCACCCCCCCCCCCCCGCTCGACAACTTTTTCGCCGAGTATAAACCACAACCATAGTC